TAAGCCGCACTGCAGCCAGCGGCTGCCACAGGTACACTGCTGGATCATGAGGAGAAAAGCAAGGACCTCTCCCGCCATAGCACTGCAGTCTCCTTTTAATGGGCGGGTCCTCCAGCTGGGACCAGTCACGTCAGGGCGGTGTATCCACGCACCAATCGGAGCAGGGCCCTGGCACAGCTGAATTAACATAAAAAGATACATCACCTGCACAAAACAAACACATGAACATGCAAGTTCGTAACACACTTTTGATTATTTTACAATTTTAGCATCTCAGTTTTTTGTGTCATACTTCTTCAGGGCACCATAATCCTGGCTACACTTGACTCGGTCCTACATGATGAGTCAATGTGGGAAACTCCACACTCTTTCAACCCCGAACACTTTCTGGACCAGGATGGTAAATTTCGCAAGAGAGAGGCCTTCCTTCCATTTTCTGCAGGTTAGTTGGAAGTCAAAACCTTTTCTATTCTAAAAAGAGCAAAATGAAAAACCCATACTATGTCTTTCCTTGTAATCATCTTGCCACCACAATGTCTTTGTTTGTGCAATATTAATCTGTGATAAAAGTGACTATTTTATCTAACATAATAAACTGTATCCTGTGTATTCTCAGGTAAGCGTGTGTGTATTGGGGAACAGCTGGCCAGGATGGAGTTATTCCTGTTCTTTGCCTCCCTCCTTCAGAGGTTTTCATTCTCTGCACCTGCTGGAGAGCAGCCCAGTCTGGAGTTCCAGCTGGGAGGGACTCGCTGTCCCCAACCTTACCGCCTCTGTGCTGTAACACGTTAAACCAGCAACTATGACAAAGTGAAAATGCCTGATTCTCAGCTTGATGAATCACTGTTTTATCACATTTATTATCTAATACAGTATCTACCCCTCTGTATTTTTCATATCTCATAGTGTGTGTAAAATGGGATTTGTCATTTTTGTTCTTGTCAGCCGGCATACCAGTTTTGATAAACTTTTACACAGTGAATCTTTTATATTCAAGTATACATTTTAATGTTAAACCAGCTAAAACTGAGATTAGTTTATCCTTTCATTCTGACATTAAAGCAAGTGAAAGCATGGACTGAGTCCCTTTGCTGGCTAACAATTTCATAGTATATGATACCTGCCTGTTCATTGCTTTTACAATTCTGAATTCTGTCATGTTATGAGGAGAAAAGCTTGTTTCAAAGAAAACATTATAAAAATTTCCACTTTATTTGAAGGCTTATAGAATACTTGACCTTAAACAAATACTAACTCTGAAAATGTGTCTCTTCTGAAGCTTGACTTTTCATATCTCTATACATCAGCATGTACCCAGTCAAAGTTTTTTGTTTTACCTGAAGTGTGTTTGAAGTGAGAAAAATCTAGGGTGGCAAGGGATTCTTGAATAAAAGTGTTATTGCCACATTTTAGAAATACTTCTCAAAACCAATAATTTAAGCTGTATAAAAATGAGCAGCAGGTGTGCCATGATGGTTGCAGTACCAAAAGAGTATCGAATGCAGGGTATAAAGGACTTGATTTGCTGTGGGGAGTGTTTGGGTGCAACTGGGCATCCAAATTGACACCATTAAGTTTAGGATTTTGGTGCAAGAAAGACCTCTGTACCTCGGGAGTATTGCTTCTGTTATTAGCTCAATAAGATGCAATACTTGAATGATCCTTTAGAAATTTGGAGTTCAGATTTTATAATTAGTTTTAAGATTTTATTGTGGACTTTTAAAGCCCTCTCTGAGCTTCCACCAAAGTGTATTTTAATCTGACATCGTACCTGGTCATAAGGTCCTCAGCCAAAGCTCTGCTGGTCGTCCTATATTTTAGGTGAGAAACGATGTTACCGGGCTTTGTCTGTCATGGAGCTGACAGCGAGATCACTTTTATCTTTTAAATCCCTCTTAAAGACAGATTTTTATAACCAGGCTTTTTCACGAGTTATTTTTATCATTTCTGTGTTTTGAGTTTTGAGTTATTTCTATGTTGTCTTTTCGCTTCATCAACTTTTTCATTTTTAATGTACTTTAATTTGATCATTCCTAATGAATTTAATTTATGCTGTCAGCATTCCTGTACATGTAAAAAGCCAAACTAAGGTCCTTTCCACCAGTTGGAGACAAGCTAACAAAAAAAAAAGGAATGGTAGCCAAGTAGTACAAAACCCAGGGTGGTGATCATGAACATTTCTTTTATTTACAAAGAGCAGGATTGCAGGATTGCTCTCCCCCCGCTTCAGGACACCTACACCAGGAGATGCCGGACTAGAGCAGCGCAGATACTGAAGGACCCGTCCCATCCTGGCAACAAACTGTTCCAACTTCTGCAATCTGGTAGAAGGTTCC